GGTGTTGTTGATGGAATAGACTCACAAATTGTCACATAATTAAAATGTCTGATAATAAAAATAGTCGTGCAGTGTTTATTCATTTGCTTTCTCTTGTTACTCGAAGGCCTGGTTCTTCTCATTCTGTCTGTGGGCATAAACATTTGCAGTCCATAATGTTTCATGTTCAACGTTGCTTAGGAAAAATAAACATTTTCCTTTTTTTGTTGCCAACAACAACTACCACCAAGTAATCCGGAAACAAACTGTCAGGCCCCAGGAGGTAGTGCTGGATGGTGCCACAGAGTATGGGAAGTGAGTGGAGAGGAATATCCAACTGCATGGCCAGGCACTGCAGCAGCTCCCATTTGGCCTCAGCCTTTGTGTTCTCCCTGGCTCTGCCTGCAGCCCAGCACAAAGGAGCCAGTCCTGTAGCAGAAGTATTTTGTGTAAGGAAAGAATTCATAGTTAGAGGGGTTGGGAGACTCTGCCTTGTTCTGGAGGAGGTAGGATCAATAAATCTGGTGGCTTTGCCTAGGCATTGTTTCCACTAACAGTGCCTTGACCAGGAGCACACTTAGCTCAGGGTCAGACCAGACCACAGTAATGTGCTTCTGCTGTGAAAGTTAAGCTGCAGCACCTTCCTGGGCCAGTTTGCTTCTGGGACACAACCTGACTGCAGTTTTACCACTAACCATCAGCTGTAGCTGCAGTTTCAAATCCAACCCCTGCGAATCCATGCTGGGCTGAGAGGCAGGCTCAGTAAAAAGCCAGCCATGGTACCCTGTGCATCAGGACAATAGTGCTGATCTCTGGCAGGAACATTGCTCTTAAGGGGGTGCAAGCCCCTTGGGGGGCACAGACACCCCACAGTGGGCAGAAATGGGGTGAGAGAACTGTTTTACATGAGAGCTGCAGGTGAAAGCATCTCTGCTATCCTTCCCAGTGCATTGAAATAAGGGCAGGAGTGCTCCAGTGTGCAGGCTTGTAGGTGGAAGGAGGATAATGTCACTAGCCAGAGAGGCAGCAAACACCAAGGCCTTGACAAACACTCTGAGTAATGGAAGGAGAAAGCAGGGAGAAATGGAAAACCAGCAACAGAAGGGACAGGGAGGTGGGAAGACAGTCCATGAGCTCATTCCCCAACAGAAAAGGAAACAGCCCCAGTGACAGGGGAGATATCCAAAACTGATGGGATTCATGTTGTAACTTGTCCAATCACTCCTGTCTGACAGGGAGAGGGGTCTCCTTTCATGTCCATGCTGCAGAAGCAGACAGGAGCCCAGGTAATTAGGTACACAACAGAGGACACAAGTTTAAGTTCAGGGCAGGCAGAGGAGGATGGACCCAGGCAGAGGAGAGCAGTGGGTTTGTCAGTGCCAGGCACCGGCCTCTCTCATCCAAACGGGGTGTTGCTGATACTTGACTGTAGCTGTGCTGCTCTGGCTGCTGCTCCTCCTGGGAGCTCTGGAGGGCGAGTGCTGCCCAACACAATGAGGTTAAAGATGCTCCTGGCTCCTTGGGATGGCTGGGACGCTTCCTGGGAAGCTTGGCTGGTGTTCATCTGGCCCCGGCAGACCCAGAAGTGATGGCTGTTGTATCGCAGCACTGATAAAGCTGTAAGGAACTGAGTGGGCAGCCTGTATCTCCGCTGTGGTTTCTGGTCTCCCACGGGATCTGTCCATTCCCTCCCATTCCCTCTCAGCCTCTCAGTCACAAGGCTGCAGGAAGAGGCACATTCTTTGTGAGGAGCTGTGACCAGTCTGCACCACAGCCCTCTGTGTACAGCTTTGCTTCTCCACTGTCCCCACCATTGGTCTCAGGCCTAGCAGCCCCTCTGTGCTCATGCTGTGCTGGCATTTTGCTGCTCAGTCTCCATTGCAAAGCCCTGGCCTACAAACCAGCTGTTCCCGGCCACAGTGGCCACCTCAACAGCTGGTTATACTGGGAAGGGCAGAGCAAGTGGCTGCACACACTCAGCCAGATGCTCAGATATGTTTTGCACTCGGCTGGGCTGAACCCTGCCCTGGGCTGCAGGGGTTTTCCTTTGCTTTTGTGTTCAGCAATCCCTTTCCCTCTGCTGGTGGGATGCAAGGAGTGGGGATGCCCCGACAGGTACCCAGCAGCCAGTGCCCTCCTCACCCTCTCCTTACAGGTCTGTACTGGTTTCAGCAGCAGCACAGCCCTAAGTGAAGCCCTAAGGATGCAGCCAGGGCATTGTACCACAGCTCTGAGAACTAAGCAAGGTCTCCCCAGGAGAGGGTGGGCTCAGTGCTGGGTGGGAAGGATACAACCTTAAGTGAGCGGACACGTTATCTAAGCCCCGGGAAGTGCCTGCAGCAAGGTGTGTCCAGCCAAGGAGACCAAGATCTCCAGCCCGAGTGTCTCCTGAGCATTGTTTGGCAAGTGGTTTCTGCCTGTCACATTTCCCCTTGCTGGCTGTGCCTGCAGTGGCATTTTCCAGCCCTTTCCTGCCATGGTCCTAATGTCGGTGCAGTGACGACAGGGAGAGAGTTACTGTTTGTCCAGGGGCACAGCTCAGGGCAGCAGGGAAGGTCTTCCACCCTGCCTCCACCCAGAGCCATTCGCAGGACCAGCCCTCCCAGGGCTGGGTCTCTGCACAGGGCAGGCAGGAGGGAGCAGGAAGGGTCCTGGCTAAGGCAAGGTGGGGTTTGAAAGGCTGGGATTCATGCCAGTGGCCTTGAGCTAATCAAAGAGGGGAGAGAAAAACTACCTCTGGCCTGCCTCTGAACATGGGATTTCTTGGGACAAGAAGGAAACAGGTAGTTTTTCCTCTCTCTGCTCTTGCTCAGAGGAGAGTGAAGATCTCTGGTTTGTGCCAGTATCCCCAGCCTGTAAGGCAGCTGGCCTTCCCAGGAGGGGGATGTGCTTAGTGTCGTCCAGACAAAAAAACAGGAGTAAGCCCATCCGGGTCAGCCTCATCCCGCTCACTTACCTGGGCAACTCCTGAGGGTTTTCCAGTGCTCCCAGTTCCACAGTGAGGGCTCTCCCGGGGGTCCATCTCCTCTCTCCCCATGTGCCTGGGAGCAGCTGTCCTGTTCATTCTGGCCCTGGGAAACCGGATGCATTCATCACCCCATGTCCTCGGGTGGCAGGACCTGCCTGTGGTGGCAGCTCTCCAGGCTGGGCTTTGGTGACACAGCTGCCATTATGTGCTTCAGTGTCATTGGGTCTGGGAGCAAGATGTTGGCCAGAACATGAACATTATCAACTCCTCCTGCCAGCTGTCCTTTGCAGGCATTAGCTGCCAGCCCAGGCAGGGTGCCAGGCAGCTCTTAGAGAGCTCCTCTTAGAGAGACAGGTACCTCTGACCTGGCAGGGCTCCAGTGTTCAGCAGGAGCAGCCTGGTGCAGACTCCCCTGGGAGAGGCAAGTCCATACTCCCTCCTCCCACTAAAGCACTGCATGGATTCTCAGTGCCATGGCTGGAACTTGGGCTTTGCTGTTCAGGATGTAAAATGGCTTTTTCCCTCTTTGCATGGGTTGATGGTGCAGTTCCTGTGGTGTGTGAAAGTGCACTGGGACACCAGGATTGTATGGATTGTTCTAAGGCAAAGGCTGGTAGGTGCCAAACCTCCAAGGGTGTCTGTGTGTCTGTCTGGGGAGGACAGGTCAGCAGGCTAGAGTGGTGACAGACACATGAAAAGCCTAAACTGACATGTGGACACCTAAACTGCACCTTGTGTGACCTCCCTGGCTCCTTTGTCCATCTGTGCCTTGCTCAGAGGCACTGGGCCACTGCAGAGTTGGGAGCTCGGTAGCGGAACTAATGCCAAGGTCTTCACACTTCATTCCAGCCCGCATGAATGGGCTCATTGTGGGGAACAGAGTGGTGGCAGCACGCGGATTACACGGCATCATGGCAGCTCTGGCGTCGTGCCATCCTGACCTTTGTGTCCCCGGCAGGGCAGCCAGGAGAGCTGACCTGGAAGAAGGCAGCTCTTTGCAGGGGAAGGAAGGGCACTCCTAAAGCTCAGGCCCTCCCTCTGAAGCCCTGTGGGACAGAGCCTGCCTGTCCAAGTAGAGATGCACCACTGCTGCATCTCAGCTCCTCCTGCTGCTCAAACACCTTTAAATTTGTCTGCACAAAACCAGGCAAAAAAATAAAAATCTGTGTTTGAACCCCCACCCTGTGCAGCACAGTGGCAGGGACCAAACACCTCTCACCCCACATGCCTCACAGAAGGTTGGAGATTACACCTGGGTCATGTTTCATGGGGGCAACATAGTCCTGCTGTCAGGTGGGAAAACAATGGAAGTCAGATAATTAGCATTAGTTAATGTCATCAAGCGCTTTTCCAACTAAGTGTGAGAGAGTCCAGGAGATCTTATCCCCATCAGAGTCACAGGTGCAGGGAGGTAAGGGGATATGGTCCTGTCCCTCCCTCAGGCAGTGATAGGGGCTGCAGGGACAGCCATTTCTGCTCTCTGCCCCATGGGCTGGACGTCAACCCCCAAATCCGTGTGTCCTGCTCTGCAGCTTGTCATGTCCCCTTGCCATGCTGAGCCCACAGTGCCAGGACAGCAAGGGGACACCACGGAAGTGACAACAGGGAGCACAACTGTGTGCTGGGCACTAAAGGCTTCCTCCCATTAATGTCACCTCTCCCCAGGGCCAGGAGGGAATAAAGGATGTGGGGCAAAGGGGGAGAATTTACTCCCTAGTGGTTTGTTTTATACTTGAAGGGTCTGGTTCTCATCCACGGCTTGCAAAGTATTTCCTGCCGGCCAGCTGCCAAGGAAATGTGGACCAAAAATAGCCCAGTGCTTAGGGGTGCCATGGCATGACACAGTGCCTCCCAGGTGTGACCTGGCCTGGGAGCAGCAGAGCCCAGGGAACAGAGGATGTTTGTGGGGAGCAGTTTGTGCCATAGCAGGAGCAGAACAGCCCTAGGTAGAGGTGGAACTCACCGCGTCAGGACCGCTGATGTCCACTGACTCCTCATCAAGAAGTGTCTTCCCAGACACTGAAGTCATGGCTTTGCTTTTGCCTTTTAGGACATGTCTCGAAAGCATCACACCTGGAAGGAGCAGGCTCCTTGGCTATCCTCCTTGGTGAACGCTGTGGGGACTGGTGTGCCTGCCAAGGGCTTCCCTGTGGGTACAGAGGAGCAGGTGGCACGCTGGAACCCCCCCCGGTGCGGCGTGCCCGACCTCCCGGTGCTGACGGACGGACAGAGCGGGCGCAACCGGCAGAAGCGGTTCGTCCTCTCCGGCGGACGCTGGGACAAGACTGATCTCACCTACAAGTAAGAGGGGCCTGAAATGGGAGTCAGGCTGGTTTGCTTCTCCCTCCCCAAACCTCTCAGTCCGATGTTCCCTGGAGCACTGCACACTGGGATGTGAGCTGTGGGGAGCCACATGCTGAACCACCAGCAGAGCTGCCCCCAGCACCTCCACATCCCCTCCCATGCTCCATAAACACCGCTGCCCACCCACCCTGCCCAAGCACATTCTGCACCAGCCCTTGGTCAGCCCCACACCAACACCCCCGTGCACATACATTCACTTCCCTGCACCAAACCCCTGACACGTGCCAAGCTGAGCCTCCACCACCAGCCCTCTCCTGCCGCGCCTTTGCCCCCCCAGCCACCCCGTGGTGGGCTCACCTCACAGTTTATTTTAAAAAGATCTTTTCATTCAGCTGTTACTGATGTTCCCATAAACACGGCTTCAGTGCAAAGTTTTGCCCAAATCACCCCACACATTCTCATTTGTGAATCTACTCAACAGGCTGGCGGGAGGGTTGTGCTGCCTCCCCAGCTGCCCCCAAGGGTATGAGTGGAGAAGTGAGCACACTCGTATGGACCTTGACAGCATGTAAATCATCTTTTGTTTAATTCAATGCAGGAGACAGTTCCTCACAGCGTTAAGAGGCTGTAGATAACAGGAAGACTTCTTCCTTTTCTTTTCTTTTTGGTCAACTGTGTTAAAGAAGGAAGCAGAGGAGAGGCTAACATAGAGCAACACTGTTAACAGAAGGGAAAGAAACCTCCCTTTCAGTCTGCTCATGTTTTAGAAGGGCAGAAGAGGTGACAAATGCTCTGATTGAGCCCAGGTTTCCAGGGGCAAAACATGCAGAGGTTGAGAAGAAGGAATCACAACACACCACTCCCTGGAATCTCTGTGGCAGTGGCCTCATAGGAGACAGACCTGGGGAATGCTGTGGAACAACAGAGAAAACAAAGCTTTCCAGGGAACTCACCTCTGGCCCAGCAGCCAGAGGGTTTCAACACTGATGGGATTTATCTGCTGCACATGTTGCATAGTAGAGGGTGCTGGAGCAGTGTTTATGGATTGGAGATGTTCTGGTGCTGAGAGTGGCAGCCCTAGTGATGTGGATCCTAGAGCTGGTGTCTTCATGACAGCAGTGTCCACAGGACAGCAGCTGCTCATCCAGTGTCTGTTGCCCTCCAGAATTGTCAGGTTCCCGTGGCAACTTGTAAAAGCTAAAGTGAGAAGGACCATAGAAGAAGCTTTGAAAGTCTGGAGCGATGTGACCCCGCTGACCTTCACTGAGGTGCAGGAGGGACGGGCTGACATCGTCATCGATTTCACGAGGTGAGCACGGTGGGCAGCAGCACCCTCCTCCCAGACAGAGGAGCAATGCCCTGACCAGAGCAGAGAGCTGCCAGCACACAACTTAGGCACTTAAATGACTACTCATATTTCTGCTTTCAGACACTGGAATCTTTTGGGGTTTGTTGTTTTGGTTTTTTTATCAGTTGTGGGCTGCTTGGTGTATGTGCAGTTGCTCCACACTGGCTGTGCACAGCACTGTTACTGATCATTCATTAATTTTCCTGGTACATTTACATTTCTCTGCCCACAGGCTGTTTTCTTGAGTGTTTGTTTTGACTTTCCATCTTCAGGTCCTCCATCCTGTCCCTTGACTGAACAACGTAACTGTCTGCACAAAGACAAATGTAGTTTCTTGGTTAAGTGAATCTTGGCTCCTGGCCTGAAATTCCCTTTTGGCAGAATACGCACTGGGGCAAAGACTTCCCCGTGCTGCATGTTTGCACAGAACAAATGAAGGCAGTGGAGACTGTCCAAGCAGTGATGAGATTTGCATGCTGTGTATTTGCCTGTGCCTCCCTCAGCTCTCTCAAGTGGCCGCATCTCTCATGGGTTTCCTTCGTTAGTCGTCCGCGGCTCGGCTTCAGTGAAGACCTGAGAGTTTGGCTGGGTTTGCTGCCAGCTGCCCCTCCACATCCCTCCACCACTCAGCAATGCTGACTTAATCTTGGCTTGAGCAGTCAGCTCCTTAATTCTTTAGCCTCTATGGTCAGCTTTGGGCTGAAATCTGAACAGGGGGAGGGGAGAAACATTCCTGAGAAAACATACGAACTCCCCAGGGCTTGGTGTGACCGAGCTCTGCTTCCTCAGTGCCCTGATGCAGAACTGGCTGTGGCAATCAGAGGGACTCCGAGCAGTTGATCTGGCCCGGTAGGATGAACTTGGGATGGGAGTGAGAGCTGCTGTCCCCTCACAGCAGGTCCCACCTTTGGCCTTACGATGTTGTTACTGGAGATACATGGCCCTTTGTCTGAGGTGCAATGTGTCTTCCCTCCAGGTACTGGCATGGAGACAACTTGCCTTTTGACGGGCCCGGAGGGATCCTGGCACATGCATTCTTCCCCAAGACACACCGGGAGGGAGATGTCCATTTTGACTATGACGAGACCTGGACGATTGGGAACAACCTGGGTACGGTTCTGCTTCAAGGCGAGCTGTGGATGCTCCAGGATGCTTATCAATACACTTGGAAATTATTCCCTTCTGATGTGAACAGGGACCCTGTAAAACTGAGAGGCAGCAACTGAGAGGAGATAGTGTGGTGTGCACTATCTCCCACCACTTACAAGCCTCCTGTTACTATTCAGGTCTTTTCATCTTTCAGCCACAGCAGAGTCTGTGTCCAGCACCAGGACCCTGGCTTTCCAATGGACTCCTCCTGTCTCGGGGGAGCAAGAGAGATGGCTCCTCTGCCCAGTCATGTGCCCTGCCACTTGGGAATCACACTCAGCATTGGCAGGAGTCATTAGAAATAAAACAGGGAAAGGATGAAGGAAAACTGAGGCTCAAGCACTTGGTGACACAGTTGTCATCCAAGGGACAGCTTCAGCCCTGGTCCCTGCATGCATTGTTCACCATCTGCTCTCAAACAAGTCCATAAAGGGAAACCACCCGGGCTCCAGCTCTGTCCCCGTGGCCTGGGAATGCTCTGACCATAAACAACACCACATCCAGTCAAGACTCTTTTTTTAATTTTTGCTAATAATAGATCTAAGCTGGTAGCTCTTTGCTCGGGCACTCAGGGTCTGGTGTCACAGTATCTCATGAGATACTGCAGTACCGCCTGGGACCATCTGGATCAGTGCCCAAAGCATCAGTTTCTGGAAGACCCACCAAAATTACCCAGGTCAGCTCCTCCTCCTCCTTCCCAGTTTATCTACAGGGACAAAGAGACAATCACAAAGCCCAAGTTAACCCCCTGCCTCTCCAGGGTTTCCCAAATATTTTGCTCATGCCAGTGGACTCCCCCAAAGCCCACGTCATTGTCAGCTCTATGCCAGCTGGACTGCGTGGGGCACAGGACTGTTGTGTTTCTCACTCTGCTCACGCCAACCCAAAATAAGAACCACAGAGCACTGGAATTCTTTGTAGAAGCAATTCTGCTCCTGGGGAGGGCTGGGCTCTGTCACTTTTCACCCTCTGTTGGGGTTGTCTGTGTTGTTGAAGAATTTCCTACATTCTCCCATAAAACAGTGTTGGAGGCAAAACAGGAACTGAAAATGGACACCAGTTCCCAACAGAATCCAGTCCTATTCCATGGCATTCCCCCTCCCCCCTCCATCATCCATAAATAGATGTTGTAAAAGCTCTTTGGAGCTAATTGCCATTTAATATGCTGAAAAGAGCTTTACGATATAACCATGGATAAATCCTTGACTCAGCTTTCAGTGAGACAGGGAAATCCTCAGCTTCATTTTACAGACAGGAGAGCAGAAATGTGAGGAGGACTAAGGTGTGCTCTGGGGTCACCCTAGAGCTGTGCAGGAAGTGGGACCCCACATGGAGACCATCCATAAGAGACACAGGGATGGTCCCCAGCACAGCTCCTTCAGCTGTGCTGCTGTGCATCTCCCCTGGAGAATCTGACAGCACAGCTGATCTGCCAGCACTGGAAAGCATCAAGTGAGGAGCCTGCCAAGCTAAACAAAAGTGTCTGAAAGTTTGTAATAAGTCACTGACACAGAGATCCCACTTTCTCAGCTGATCTAGATGTGTTGATTTAATCAGGTCAGTGCTGTGCAAAGTCATCGCTTACACGTAACACTGACCAGCAGAGGAAGACAGGGGCTCACCTTCCCCTCCGCCCTTCCCAGACGTTCCTCCCAGCTGTATCCCCCTGTCCCATCCGGTCCTGGTGCTGAGAAGTGACCTGCTCCCCTGGAGCCAGCAGGGAAATCCTGCTTGGAACAGCGAGGCTGGCTGACTCACATCCCTGCTGTTCTCATCACTTGGGCTGCAGCTTGGAGGATTTCTGGCTGAAGGCAAGTGAATGAATATGCTGGGACTTGTCAACAAACAGCCTCCACTCAGGGAAATTTATCAGCTTCAAAAACGATCCACTGAAAACTAAGCAAAACATGCCAAGTGATATATCTTTGCATACTGAAATCCAGTTTCCCCCCTCTCCTTTTCTAAATGCTTCAAGGTCATGTATTCCTAAAACATGATCTCCCATAAATCTACTTGAGTCTGGTGAGGAAGTCTCAGGTCTTGACATTGGATCATTTTTTATGGATTTATTTCTAAATGTCACCTTCTTGACATAGTCCCCACACAAGCAATAAATGAGCTCCCTCTGCTGTCTGTGTGACAACAGCCATTAGCAAGTGTTAATCCTAGAGAGTTCCCTCACTGACACCGGTATCTTCCACAGTGGATGTGATCTCAATGGGACAGGATAAACTGCAGCTGTGGCCAGCAACTGCTGCAAGGCTGGGTGGACAAACACCAAACTTACCACCCCACCACCCACGTCTGTGGGCCAAACTTCCTTCCCTGTGCAAATTTCTCCTTTGCAAAAGTGTATGGAAAACCCATTTCTTCTTGGTAGCCCATAAGGTGGCAAGAGCCTCTGACAACAAAATTACAAATTACCAACATGCCCAGGCTGATACCTGAGTGTATGAATTCACTCAGGGTGCTCCTGAACCAGTCAATCCCTTAATTATCCTCTTTGACTCCTTAAAAAACCTATACACAGGAAAAATCTGGGAAAAACAGCCTGTGAGAATGGTAGTAGAGACAGATTTCTCTTTCCTCTTGTTGGACTCCTAAAACACACCTTAGTGCACTGTCAGTGGCTGGTAACTGGTAGGAGCAGGCCCAGGAGTCAGAAGTACACAAACAGATAAAAGCATTTCCCATCTTCTCCCTTTGCAGGCACTGACCTCCTGCAAGTGGCTGCTCACGAGTTTGGCCACGTCCTGGGCCTGCAGCACACGGCTGTCTCCAAGTCCCTGATGTCTCCTTTCTACATCTTCCGCTACCCCCTAAGCCTGAGTGAGGATGACAAGCAAGGTATCCAGCATCTCTATGGGAAACCCTCACTGGATCCTGACCCAACCCCAACTCAGCCAGCAGAGCTGCCTCAGCCAGATCTCGAAACAAATGAGATCACCAATGTGGAGGTGAGTGAACAGTTTGTCTGCATCCTCCCCTGGCAGCATGGCTGGGACTGCCCTCACCAGGAGGCCTGTTTGGTGTCTGTCTGAGCCCAGGCCCAGACCCCACAGCTGGCCTGGGATAGCAGGGAGGGGATCTCTGGGCAGCACATGCCCAACCAAAACTGGCTGAAAGCAGGGCAGTTGCCTGGACACAGGGACCTCCCCTCTGCTGAACCCAGGCTGGGTGAGGGGAGTCCCAGGAGTCCCAGCCCCTGACGAGCCGTGCTTTGGCAGGACGTGCAGCCCGATGCCTGTGACACGGCCTTCGACGCCGCGTCCACCATCCGAGGGGAGCTGTTCTTCTTCAAGTCCCGCTACGTGTGGCGGCTCCGAGCTGGAAAGCTGCAGGATGGCTACCCAGCTCTGGCCTCCCGTCACTGGCAGGGGATCCCCAGCTCTGTTGATGCCACCTTCGAGGACCCTCTGGGCAATATCTGGTTTTTCCAAGGTAAGAGCTGGACTGGGATCAGACGGCTCAGAAATGCATCTCAATCACTTAGGGGTAGTCAGGACCCAGCAAGTTCCTGGGAGAATAAATCTTCTGGACATCCCCAGCAATCCAGTGATCCTTGTTATTTGTTTTCTTCTCTGTTTAAATTTTTAGCAGATATTGAGGAGGGAAGAGAGAACAAGGGGTCACTTTTATTTTAGACAGAGCCACAATCCCCCCTTCTTCTTCCCTGGAACACAAACATTTGTTACGAGCCTCTGACCTGGCAATGCTGCTGGCAGAGGAGAAAAAAGGAAACACTTGCTCCATCTCCCCAGCTGTCGTGGGAAGCACTGTGCCAGAAGAGAGCCCCAGCAGCTTTCTTGGTTGTGAAACTCCTGTGCTTATGTCCCCAGAGCCCTGCTCAGGGGACAGACAGCATCTTCTCTGCTCCTCAGAGACCTGGATGTGGAGCTTCTGTAGTACCCCATGACTAAATGAGCCTACAGGGAGACCATGTGCAGAACCAGGCAACCTTCAGCCACCACAGGGATTAAAAATGAAACCTCCTCCTGGCCATCTCTGGAGTTCAAGGCCAGCAACAAACCCTATTTCAGCTCCACTGTTTTCTTTAATGCTCTTTAATAGCAGGGATGTAGAATGACATGGGAACTCAGCTGCCCTGGGTGTGCACACCCCGTCTACAGTCCATAAAACCAAGTACCAGAATCACACCACAGGGCTCTGCAGGCAGAGCTCCTGCATAAACACATTACTTAGCACCTGACCTGCACACAAGGATTTACAGTGCTGAAATTGGCAGGCTCCTACCGTGAGTTAAAATGAGATAAGGGGAAAGTATTACATGCCACAGGCTAATTACAGAGATTCCCATTTTAATCTAATCTGGAACTGTGCTCCCAGTCTCTATTTCAGCTTGGCAACTTCGTCCTAGTTTCTGCAGCTCACTCCTTTCCAGCCACATGCCCCCTTTGTGCCTGTGCATGCCCCCATGTTTTCCAAGCACTGAGGTTGCAGTGTAGACGCTGGTCCTTCCAGCCAAGTCTTTTATAATTTCCACAAATAGAGAAAATACAGCTGCTAAAATGGACCTCCTTCTCCTCCACTGACACCCTCCAGGCTGGACTGAGGTGAGAAGTCAACTCCTTGCATTGACAGCATTTTGGGCACACGACAGTGAAAGTGTCCATGACACTGGTAGGGTGTTTGCCTCAGGCACAGCCTCCCCTGGTAGCTCTGCCAAGGCACCAGCTCCAGTTGCACAGTTCACTGCCAAATTATCAGACACCAAAGAGTTTCTGACACTTTGCCTCCCTTTTCTGTCTCCTCGCCAGATTCTCAATACTGGATTTATGATGGTGAGAGAAGGGTATCTGGTCCCACCCCGATTGTGGAGCTGGGCCTCCCTGCATCCCCTGTGCAGGCAGCTCTGGTGTGGGGGGCTGAGAAGAACAAGATCTACATCTTCAGTGGAGGCAACTACTGGCGCTTCAACCCTCACACGCGCCAGGTGGACAACATCTACCCCCGGGCCATGGCCGACTGGCGCGGTGTCCCGCAGGAGATCGACGCAGCTTTTCAGGATGAGCTTGGTCAGTGCAGCAGGGACATGGCCTGCTCTGGGGTGGGCACTCTGGCTGACACCACTGCCCAGCTGGAAGAACCAGGCAGATTTGGACATGTGGTAGCAGTGGACACTTCCCAGCCATAGCACCATAGCATGTCATATAGCGTAGAGAGGGGCAGCTCCTTCTTCCAGTGGTAGGGAACTGAGGCTTCTCTTATGAAAGTGACAAGTTTCATCATCGTTAATTGCAACAATCAACATATAAGTTGATATAAGGCTTATATATTGATATAAGTCTGCTAGAAGTCAAGCATCTGACCAAGAAATGGTCACAGAGTCCTACCCGCCTCCTACCGCTCCTGCCAAAGGAAGTGATGAGAGAACAGCAGAAGCTCTGCCCACACTTCAGCCTGGGCAGCTGAACAACACACAGGCTGCTTTTAGTATTACCCAAACCTCCCCGAGGTGCCCCATGATGAAGACAGTATGGCAGTGCTACAGTAACACTGGGGACAGCCAGGGTGCTTGGGATGAAGGTGTGGTGAGTGCCTCTTTCCTCCCAAAGGATGCAGTGAAACAACTCCCCACTGCTTCCAGAACCCAAATTCCAGGATAGCTTCCCCACAGTAACAAATGCCCTGCAACAGGTCTTCACAAGCTCCCTGTCCCCGTTCAGGTCCTGGACATCCTCTGCCCTCTCAGGGCTGGGTCACTACATGGGTACAGCACATTTAAACACACCAGGAAAATAAAATAAAACAAAAAAAAAATCCATCCTGTTTACTCTTCCATCAAAACTAACACAGTGTGAAAGAAAATTGAAATACCCAAGCCTGGTTTCAAGTGAAATCTCGACAGCAGCATCTCCTGCCTCTTCCAGGTCTCTTTTCGGTACTGCACATGCTGCAGAGTGACAGCTGGATGAAACTGAGAAAGAGCTCTGAGCCTTGTGTACCTTGTCTCTCCTAACTTCCTCTCTCATCCACAGGTTTTGCCTATTTCCTGAGAGGCCAAGATTACTGGAAGTTTGATCCAGTCCAGGTGAAAGTGCTGGAGGGCTACCCACGCCAAATCAGCCAGGACTTCTTCAGCTGTACACCTTCCTCCAACTCCTTCAGATGAGGGGGATGCCTGTGTCCTCCACGCTCCCCTTTTATCACCCTTACCTCCAGCAGCCATACAGAAGGTTCTCTCTGCCATTCCTGGCTTCCTTCCAGGCTCAGCATCTGACACAACATGTGCTTGTCACAAGTGACAAAGTTTGCTCCTCTCCAGTTCCAGCAACCCCAGCTTCAGTTGCTATCAATGTAAAAGCAGCTGCCATGTTCTTTGCAGGCGAAAGAGTGGCCACACTCTTCTAGCAATAGCATCCCAAAAGCCATCAGGCCAGCCTGGAGCGGGATCATGCTCTCATAATTAACCTGGACCCCATCCCGTAGAACTGATCCGATGGTATTTCCTATGTTTACACAGCTCACTACAGCAGCCCTTTGGTGCTCCAGACGCTGGCCAGGGAGGAAGGCTGCCCCAGCCCTAGCCAGGGGGTCTGAAGGACACTGACTGTACCTGCGGAGGGTGCGACGTGCGGCTGCTGCCAGGGTCCCTTGGCCGGGGCAGCCGCGGGGACTGCCAGGGCCCTGCCGCAGCCCTACTCCTGTTTGACGTTGTATCACTCGTACGCGTTAGGATTTTGTACCGATTTGTATATAGACAAGGGGCCCCTTCCCTCCTTCCCTGCCCTCCACGGTGCCGGGTGCCAGTGCTGGACACTGCCCCGCGCTCGCCCGGGCGAGGTTCCCACCCCGGGTCGCTCAGGATGCACGGACCGCTCCCGTACCGCTGTCCCCGGGCTGGCATCGCACACAC